TCACCACTGTTCGTATTCGGGACTCCCCCTTGGCTGCGACCATCAATTACAATAGGAAAAATCCAAATGAAAGATTGAACAGTGCTTTTCTCGGCATTGCAGCGAAAAAGCCACAACCCATCTACGTATCTGAACATTTGTCTGTGCATAACAAATCACTTCACGCGGCAGCTAGAATTAAAGCCAAAGAAATAGGGTATAGATTCGTATGGGTTCGCAAGGGCAGGATTTTTATGAGGAAAACCGAATCGTCAGAATGTATTTCCATCAACAATATAGATATACTTAAGTCTCTGAAGTGATTCAAGCACGCATGTACCTTTTAAAATTTTTTAATGTAAAATTCAATCCCATACGTGTTTACTATCAGAATGTTCGCGGTTTGAAATCTAAGACCATTGATTTTTTTAAAAAGATATCTTCTGAGACCTATGACGTTGTGGTCCTTGCGGAGACTTGGCTTAATAGCGGTGTGCATGACTCGGAACTTTTTGATAACCGCTACACAGTATTTAGAAGAGACCGTGAATCGTCGCGGTTTCATAATAGGGCAGACGGTGGAGGCGTTTTAATTGCGGTATCAAAACACCTTAACGCATTGAGATTAACCTTATTTGAAAGTTCAATTGAGGACTTATGGATTAGTGTTGACATCAAAACTAATAAAAATAAGACTGCCAAACTATATATATGTGCTGTTTACCTTCCTTCTCCTCTTCAATTACAAACACTAAAAGAGCATATGTCAGCAGCACAACATACTTTAAACGGTGAAAATAATATCTTAATGGTTGGCGACTTTAACTTGACAGGCATATCGTGGGTAAAACATGACAGTAAGAATCACACAATTCCCGTTGGTATTAGCAGTGAGATGCATTCAGCGTTTCTGGATTTTGTTACGTGTAATGAACTTCACCAATTCAATTCTGTTCAAAATTATAAGCCTCGAACTTTGGATTTGGTGCTTACGAACACTGGGTTTGTCGGGACTGTTTGCGCAGTGGATAACGACAACGCTTTATCTAGGATTGACGCCCATCATCCTCCTTTATCTTTCTGCCTTAACGTTGCTAGTGAACCTAGGCTGAAAGTAAATACTCTTGCCAGACCGAACTTTTTTAGGGCTGACTACAATAGAGTTATTTCTGAATTGGGATCCGTGGATTGGGATGAAATATTTAGTAAATGTTTATCCGTAAATGACATGGTACAATCTTTTTACAATCAACTACGAGTTGTGATTTCTGAATGCATCCCTTTAAAGAAGAGTAACAATAATAAATATCCCGTTTGGTTTTCTCGCGATTTGATCCGATTACTTAAGGAAAAACATAAATACCATTCCAGAGTGCGGAAATTCAACAATCCCATGGACGTTTTGTCATTTACACTGCTCAGGAGAAGGTGCACTCGGCTGAGCTGCACATGTTACAATTCTTACATAAATAAAATTGAAGATGCTATAAGTAGTAACCCTAGAGTTTTCTGGTCTTTTATCAAAAATAAAAGGGGTGGTCAGAGTACTTATCCACAAGAAATGGAATTCGATGGGAAAATGGCTTCAAGTGGTCCAGCTATTTGCGAATTATTTGCCGAAAACTTTGGTAAGGTATACAACACCCATGGACAATACTCGCCGTTGTTATTGCCTCCAGGCTCCTCATCCACTTCTACTCTCTGTAGGTTGTCGTTTTCAAGCCAAGAAGTGCATAATGTTTTGATATCCTTGGATGCTGGGAAGGGGGCTGGTAGTGATGGGATTCCGCCTATTTTTATTAAGTCATGTGCTGAAGTTCTATCTTCTCCTTTGCAACAAATTTTTAATAGATCGCTTGATGACGGAGTTTTTCCTGACCTATGGAAAGAGGCCTTAATAATCCCATTATATAAATCAGGAGCCCGTCATATTGTTTCAAATTATCGACCGGTCTCCGTTCTTGCGATATTTGGTAAGGTTCTGGAGAAATTAGTCACTAAGCATCTAGTCTGGCACCTGAAGCATTTTATTACTACGCATCAGCATGGTTTCGTTAAATCTAGATCAACTTCTACAAACTTAGCGTTGTTCATATCAAGTGTATCTAAATTAGTAGACGAGCGAATCCCGGTGGACGCCATATACACTGATTTCAGTAAAGCGTTCGACAAAGTAGATCATCAAATCCTTTTAAGCATATTGTCGCTTTCAGGCATTGATGGGTCATTGCTTAAATGGGTTAAGTCGTACTTATCTTATCGGCCTTCCAAGGTAGTAGTAAACGGTTTTAGTTCAAATTCTCTTGTAGCTCTGTCTGGGGTTCCCCAAGGATCTCACCTGGGTCCCCTATTTTTCAACATATATATTAATGACGTGATCAATTGTTTTAAAAACTCGAGTGTATATCTTTTCGCTGATGACTTAAAAATATTAAAACCAATTAAGTGTGCCAGGGATTTGGAACTACTACAAGAAGATATCAATAATTTGTGTAATTGGTGTACATCCAATAAAATGATATTAAATGTTGCTAAATGTCATCACATACGCTTTTCACGCAACAAGTTCGATAACTTACATAAATACAATATGGGTGGACAAGATTTAGAGACGGTGGTCGAGATTCGGGACTTAGGGGTTTTAGTAGATAGTAATTTGCGGTTTGACTCACATATCAAAAAAACTGTAAATAAGGGTTTTAGGATGATGGGTTTCGTACTGCGCAATGCTAAGGAGTTCAAGAAGTCTTCATCGAAAACAAAACTCTTTCAAGCATTAGTATTACCTGGACTGGAATTCAACAGTGTCATTTGGACTCCACATTACGAGGTGTACATTAAACGTTTGGAAAGTGTTCAAAAGCGCTTTTTATATCACTTGGCATTTGGCGATTTAGAAGCGGAGAGACTTCCAGGGTACTCACAAAGACTCGAGCATTACAAGTTGACTTCTCTGATCAACCGTAGAAAGAGACTTGATTTAATCTTCCTGCACAAAATTGTTAACGGTTCATTAGACTGCCCTGAGTTATTGAATATGCTACAATTCAATACGCCTTGCAGGTTACCCAGGAAAAGCGCTTATAACTTTTTTGCCGTAGTAGGTTCAAAAACGAACCTCGGTCATTTCGCTCTTTTGCCGAGGCTCTGCAGGACGTATAACTCGCTTTCCAAATTACATGATTTGGACATTGGTCTTGGGTTACACAATTACAAGAGTAGGTTGTGTGATATTTTAAATACATAAAAGATATTTCAATTAATTTTTTTATTGTAAATTTGTATTTATATTTTTGAATTTATATTTTTAATTCTAATTTTAATTTTGAAATTTAATTTTATTTGTAACTTTTTAATCAATTACTGTATATCATATCATAGGTAGAAGGATTAACTATATGCTCGACAGTTTCAAAAAACAACAATTTATTTTTTTTGTATGCATGCTGTGATGTTCCTTAACTATAGAAGCACTTAGTTTTAAGCGAATATGTTCAAATTTAATGTATAGTGTATTGCTATGTGGAATATCCTGAATAAATAAATAAATAAATAAATAAATAAATAAATAAATAAATAAAT